ATGTGTATGGTGCTTTGCCTACATACATGTCTGTGCAGTGTGAGTATGCAGTGCCCATGGAGGCTACAAGAGGGTGGCAGATTCCCTGAAACTAGAGTTCCAGATGGCTGTTGCCCAACACATGGGTGTTAGGAACCAAACCTGGGTCCTCTACAAAAGCAACAAGTGCTCTTAGCCTTTGAGTATCTCAGCGGCCTCTAAATGGGGTTTCCTAACACCAGCATCGTCCACGCTATTATAGGGCCGTCCTATACACGATGGGATGTTTCACAGTGTCCTCATCTCTAGCCTCCCTGATGACAGTGACATTTCTAGCTCACTCTCACACACACTGTGACAACTAGAAATGCCTGCACCTCTTGAATGGAAATCACTCCCCACTGGGAAATACTGCTTTTAACTGGGTTTGCTTCTTAAATCACAGAATGCTTGTCAACGGCTGGTAGCCTCACGAATATAACTTGTATTTACTGGGACTTCTGCCTGCAGTTATTGTTGTTGTTTCATTTTTTTTGTTTGTTTGTTTTTTAAGAGGTCCAACTTTACAAGAAAAAAGGGACTTACTGATTCAACGGAAAATGTTAGTTACTGATTCAACGGAAAATGTTAGGCTAAGAATGGACTTCAAGTGCCAGTATGGCTGCACCTCCCTGTAATCCTGGCTAATCTGATGCTGATGCAAGAGTCAGAAAGCTGAAGGTTTACCTGGACGACAGAGGGAGGCTCTGTCTCAAAAGGAAAGTCAAAACAAATAACAAAAGGGCAAAGGCTGTATGTCAGTTTTAAAGCATTCCCCTCCAAGCATAAGGCCTTAGGCACTGAGGGAAAAAAAATACAAAACAAAATAATCAAAAAACAAACCAACAATAAAACCCCATAAGCTGATTTTCATCCCAGGGCCTAGAAAAATAGTCATTTCTTCATTTATAACTACAATTCTATAACACATTTAAAAAAATAAGCTAATAGTGTGATAACTAAATAGGATAATAATGTGGCAGACACTACATTAACAGTCATTAAGAAACCATTAATTTTCTTTTGGTCTCAGCACTTTTTCAACACAATTTCTAGCTTTGGAGAGTTCTGATGCAATTTCTTGTCCTTATTGCCCATCTAAAATGATGTTCCTCATTTGCTTTTTTTTATACCAATTAATTTGAGTATGTATGCTGACCTTTGGCTATTATGACTAAGTCTGCATATTTGATGTCAAGGGCATTCAGTTTCTACTCAAATATTTGCTTAGTACCTAATGTGTGCAAAATTATACTAGGTGTTTTCACATGCCAAGTGACATCAATACAAACTCTCAGGAAGTAGGGCGGGCTGTTACCACTCGGAATCCCATCACTGGCTACATTTTGCTTCTGAGGTTATTTTTGAGCAGTCTAACTAATTGTAAGAAGAAATAATATTTCTGACTTTTACTCTTTCTTGAAGAAAAAAAACAAGCAAAACTAATTTTATTTTGTAGTTATCTCGGAAGTATACCATAACATATCATACATCCAAAACACATGATAGGTCTTATTCCCAGTTTTCTTATGTTACATTTTCTTACTTTGACATTCCAAGAACTACTTCATCATCATTCAGCAGTTCTCTCCAATTATGCTAACAAAAACCCAGTAACACAAAAGTGGAAAAGTGATGGGCTAGCCTAGAAGGCAGTACAATATGGAATCGCCTTGTGTTTCCAACATACTGCATTTTTAAAGGAAGACCTGAACCCAAGAATGGTGGTTCAAAAAATAGTAGGTTTATAGGTAAAGGAAATGGAGCCATTGAGACTAAAAGGGAAATAGAAGGAGTGGGGCAATCAGGAATCCAGGTAGAATCCATAAAAAAGAAAAAGAAAAAAAAAACAGACAAATACAGGGACGAGGGGCTAGAAGAAGGTACAGCAGATAGTTAGGTAGCATCTGCTTTATTAACATGTACCAAATGTCCACAAGATACAAGGTACCTTGCTATGCTTAGCTCTGAAAGAGTCATCCATACTGCAAGGAAGAAAGCTGACGCGAAGGACCAAGGTGATTGGGATCAGCTTGGATTGACTGCGATGTGGAAGATGATCTGTCCTCAAATGGGGGTAATAATTAGGAGTATTGAGAAACATTAAGGTTTTAGCTGATGTTACAGCATAAATGAGAAAAGGAATTAACTGGTACAGTTATACAACTTGATAGCTTAGAAAATACAGAAGAATTTCAGGAAGAAATTAAGTCTTCCCTGGTATTGAGAATTGACCACTATGTTTAGAGAACGTGAGGGTATCAGTGAATCTAGGATGTCTGGGGTATGTATAAATGGTTATGTTTTCAGTCTGACCTGACTTGGGCGATCAGGAGCAAAGAAAGGAAAGGCCAATGGATCGTGAGTTGCTTTTGGCACAATGACTGTGAAATGCAGCAAGATTTGGTGAGCGTTTCAGATGTAAAATCAGAGTAATAGCTGGAAATGCTAAGGGTGCACTCTCTCTTAGGCATGAGAGAGGTGGAACACAGAATACAGATGAAGATAGTCAGGGAAGAGCCAGCGAGCACTTCAAATAGATGATAATGACAGGGTAACCACATGACCCAGCGTGCCTGTTCCCTTCAGGTGACGACTGAGGTCTGAGTGTTCTCTCTGGTTTGAATAACATACTGTATGCCTTCTCTAGGAGTTAGCAGACCACGTTCAAACAGTCCGTTATTCAAAGGAGTTTGGTGTTTGTAACAGTGAGAACAGAAAGGAGTCACAGAATCAGAGATGGGTATCAGGAAGGTACAGTTACTCAGTGATCCTAATGAATTAACAAGAGACTTGGGTCAGAATGAAATGCCATCTGTCTGGATCAATTTCCAGCATGGAGAGAAAGGGCTGCTCATTCAATGGTTTCCTACGATATTGTCGGTGATGGTTGCAGTGGTGTCAGTAAGTCAGAAAAAGTGCAAGATGAAAACATCAAGCCTGTGGAAAACTAAACCCAATAAAATGAGGTTTTACAAAACACATAAAATGGCATTCATGGAGAAGCAGCTTGGCAAAGGCTGGTAGCTCTTGAGAAAATAAAAATAATCATTTTAAAACTTAAAAGTCCACAGTGGGGCTAGGAGATATGGGTTTGGCAAAATGCTTGCCACACACTCTTGAGGGCCTAGGCTTGATTTTCCAGTATCTATGTATTAAATAATAATAAAATAATAATAATAATAATATGAAGGATAATTGAGAAAGACACCCAATGTTGACCTCTGGCCTCCACTTACACACACACACACACACACACACACTCCCTTGTGACATCAGTACCAGATCACCACTATGGTTATGAATACATATCTAGTGTCTTAGAGTTTTAACACCAGCCATGGAAGTTTCCATGCCACATGTCTTCTCAGTCCACCGTCAGGTCAGTAATTGGGAATTAGCAAGTCAAGTATCCAACAGCCTCAGAAAAAAAGACAGTGGCTGCATAACCTGAATTTCCTTTGGGAATGCTGATTGTATTGGTTCTGTGGTCAGAGATCTAGGGACAGGAATTGTTTCAGAAGCCTCTGAAACTTTCAAATCTAGACATGGCTGAGGAATATAGGAATGGGCTAATAAGTGAGAACCAGGGCTCCTCATTTCTAGAAACAAAGAGATAATGCCTGTCTCACATGTGGCAAATAGAACAAAGGTAGGGGTCCAGCCATCATGGAGAACCCCCAATTCATTTGATGACAGAAATCTGAGAAGCAAATTCTGCCTCCCAGACACTTCTTGCCTGGAAAACAGAAGAATTATATATAGACTTTGAGCCCTGATTATTACTGAGAAGTATCTGAAAATCTATTTTCAGTTTCCTTGGCTCTGTGTTAAGATAGATCAAATATAATTTGGAGGTGGGGGGAGCAAAACAATTATCTGGGTGTAGTAAGTAGCACAAGCTTTTATTTCCAATACTCAGGAGGCAGAGGCAGATAGATCCTGGTGAATTCTAGGCTGGCCTATTATACATGCCAAGTCCAGGCCAGCCAGGGCTACACAGCTCTCTATGTAGCCTCTATCCTGTCTCCAAAATACATAGATGGATAGATGCAAATGGTAAAAAGGGAAAATAAAAGACTGTAACACACACAAAAACGTCCTGATAAACTCAGGCAACTGGCACTAAAATGAAGCCTCATCTCATTGATAGGAGAGACAGGATTCCACGGTAAGTTCTTGCACATTAGTAAAATGGTTAGAAATATTACGTGCACTTGTAGAAAAACCCAAGGAGGAAGTAAGGCAGCTTTACATTGTAACTATAAGTTTTGTGATTTGTATTTGGATCCTGGAAGGAAAGCATGACCCTCTCATTTTGGGGAAGGCATAGTCTCAGTTCATCAATGAACCAGGCCATATGTCTAACTCAGAAATTCTGAGTCAGGCAATGAAAGGGATTAAGATCCCAAGGAAAAGGAGGTAAAAATATGTCTACAAGTAATCATGAAACTAAAGACAGCTAAAGAACTTTAGCAAGCACCTCTGAACATTCCTAACTACACAAAGGAAAAAGCTGGGTGGTGGGAGGGGCCCAACCCCCCCCCCATCCAAAAGTAAACAAACCACAAACAGAAAACAAAAAAAAAGAAATCCTCAAAAGTAAACATGCAAACACAAACCAAATCTTCCTTAACATTTTGTATGGAGCTCACGAAAAGAGTATCTAAAAGTATTTCCAAATGACAGACCAAAATGGAATGCCATAGCAGTGACCTTGTATCCTTCCCAGGAGAACTACCACGGAGAGGCTGGTAGTGGGGTTTGATCAATATTTTTGACAGTAACGCATATGGCTAAGTTATTTCATGAGGGTACTTCAGTAACACTAACATTAAGTAGCACACAATAGTCACAGCAGCACTTAGGGGTTAGATGTTTCTGCTGTCAGCCCATGTAACAGGAGTGAGAGGGACCTTTTCAGTGTGAGACCTAAACACACATTTACAGACAATCCAGATGCAATGCAAAAGCTGCCTTACCCGCCGTCAGCATAGTCGGTGTCTGCTCCACCCCACCAGACATCAGAGTCATCCTCCTCTGCGTCCGCAGAGTCCACGTTGTCGCTTTCCTCGGCCAACGGGCAGCATACAAACTCCACCCCGCGGAACTTGTCGATGCCACAGGGCAGCAGCATGCCATAGTCGTGCAAGTTAGTGCCCTTCTCACTGCATGTCTACAAAAGGAAGGAAGAGACGGTGAGGGCACAAAGGTGCGCAAACCGCAACCCAGCCGGGACAGGCAGCGTGGACAGACACACAGGTAACCGAGTTCAGACGGCAAGGACGCTTTGCTGCCTCAATGCATTTCTATAACCTGTGCTTCAGCCTGGGCTCCGTGGTGTTCTGCTTTGTCTTGTTCTCTTGATATGTGGGCCAGAGAGATGGGCCAGTGGTTAAAGCACTTGTTCTTGCGGTGGACCCCTGACTCATTCCCAGAACCTACGGGGTGGTTCTTAGCCTTCCCTACCTCCAGGCTTATGGAATCCAATGCCCTCCTCTAACTCTGTGGTCTCTGTGGGCACCAGCCATACACCTGCTGCACAAACATACGTATGTGTGTGTATATTAGAAATCTTTAAAAAATGTGTTATGACGCTTACAAAGTAAAGGTTAAAAGAAAACTGGTTCAAGAAGGCTAACCACGGGAACAAACAGCAGGAAAAAATTTATGATTTTGGCTGTGATGGCTTATCAGGAGTGGAAACCTCCTTCCACATGCCCTACCAACTCCGACCTCCACCCCAGATACAGGTTTTTTACACTCAGTTTCACCTTATTCTGGAAATTCTGTCTCTTGGCTCATTTCCCAGAGTCACAGTCCCAGAAAGGAAGAGACTGTCCTCCATAGCAACAAAGAATCAGAGTTCACAACAGTGAGATTTCTTTTTCAGTTATCGGTGCTAAGTTATCGGTGCTAAGAGAGAGCTGAGAAACTATCTCCCGATGACAGAGAAAAGATTAATAATTCAACATGCCTTGGAAAACAGTAAAGATATTACAGGTGTATTTTAACCTCACAAGAATCAACAGCTTGTTTCTTAGTAGAAAAGTAATTTTCCTCTGAACACTCAGAAGAAATGCAAAATGATGTTATCAGTTGGGAAGCTGGGCTTAAATTATGTGGTTGGCTTTAACCTCAGGCTGGTCCTCAACTTCCATAAAATCATTTTTATGTAAAGAACGTTCTGTTTTACTGTGAGTCAGAATATAATATTTTATGAAAGGTATAAATAAAGTTAATTTTTTTTCCCTTTCATTCTTGAATCTCAACAGGTTTGACATTTTGGACCAAATCATTTGCCAAGGAGCCAGACCTGGTGGTACAGACCTGTAGTTCTGGCTACCTAGAAGGCTATGGTGAGTTCAAGGCCTGACTGAACTATAGAGTGAGTTCAAGGGCAAACTGAGCCATTCAGCAAAACTCTACTTCATATCTCAAAACACAAATGAGAAATATAGCAGGGATACAGGTCAGAGAGGGAGTATAAATTGGCACACAGGAGGTGCTGGATTCAATCCCTGGTAGCAAGATAAAGAACTATTTCAGGGAGGTATTTGCCCTGTTCACTGCAGGGTTTTCAGCAGACTGCTCGTCTCTGTGGTGGCCCCTACAGCTAGGACAAGCAAAAACGTTCCTAGGAAGCAACAGGAATGCAAAAGTGACCCTCGTGGTGAACCCGTGAGCTGGATAAAAGATCCTAATTCTAGAACACTGGTGCTACCATCTTGACACACCCACTTAGGAGAAAAACGGTATAATTACGTCGGAGGGACAGTGCAGTTTTGAGGGTGATAATTTACAAAGTAGACAGTGCATTCTTTAACATTCCACTGATTTACCCCAAAGCAGTGGCTAGCAAAGGGCTGAGTATACCGCTGCAGACTGGCTCATGTGGAAATGAAGGTGGCAAGGTAGCCTGGTGAATATAACCTGGAGGGTTTAACTTAAAAACTGTGACCTTAGAGGTGGTGGGGGGCATGTGGCTTCCTTGTTCTACTACTGCATTCACTGGTTGCTAGTTAAATTATGCAAACCACCTAAAACAAAAGCAACACTGAAAATAAACTGAAAACGATGTGCATCTTAAGGTTACACCTATTAAAGATGACAGTTTTATGTTCTCTTTTAAGATGAGGCCCAGATTTGTTACTAATGAGTGCTGTTTCTGCCTATTAGAGCTGCTTGTGGATGGAGAAGTACAAATACGTGCACAGACATGGAACACAGCAGCTTGTTGGAATTTCTGTTCAGTGGCATTGCAAAAAAAAAAAAAAAAAATTACCATAAAAAAGTAAACTCAATGTTAAGCCACTTATGTTACTTGTACATAGCTTCCATAAAGAACTTGTTGCTTTCAGCAACCCTCTAAAATGTCTTTGTATGCCCCCAGGAGATCTCTGCTAAAAAGGAGTCACAGGCAGGTACCTCTTTGGCAACAGTGTGCCAGTGAAGGTGGGTCTCGCAGACGTCCATCCGCTCCTGGTGGAGAAACTTGCACTTGTCGGGAACGAGAAGAGCATCACTTACAAACTCACCAACTGCAAGAGAGCAAAGCCACTCTGTGTCACTCTGTGTGTGCTTGCTGACCTCACTGTGCAGACACAAAGGCTAGAACGAGGTCAGAGAACTTACCCAGCTTCCAATGCCTGAAAACCCCACCAAGACCCCAGGACCTTAAACAACTGACTTCCTCGCCATCGTGACCTTATATCCATCTATAAGTTCCCTACATGTGTGGACTTGATGGTTTTAAGTTCTCTATATAGTCCCACTGTCCTCTCCTTTAACTAATCTCAGTTTCTGCCCCCATATAAGTGTTGTACAACTAATCACTGATATTCACTGTCAGCAAGGAGTAACATATAAAAACAGACATTTTCAATTTGAGCAGTATCAACATGTATGTCTATTTCTGTATTTCGGTATTTTTAAACTGCTTGCAAACTATTAAAGACTATAGAGCTGTTAAATGTTAAGCCCCAAGCAGTCTATACATACACAATGTGTAAAACATATATATATATATATATATATATATATATATATATATATATATAAAATGGGAGAGATCACTTACATTCCAATAAATTATGGAATCTGTTTTATTTGAACTCTACACTTCATGTGAAATGTTCCTAGGCACTGAAGATCTAGGAATATTACATAATGCCCTTCAAATACTCACATACTCATAAGAGTGACAGATTAACTGTGGAAAATAACTCATAAGCTGAGAAATTAATTTCTCGTGGTTTTATTCACTGTGGTAGCCCTATGCTTCAGCACAAAATCTGCACATAATAGCTAATGAATATCTGTTAAAGAATGAAGACGTTAAATTCTGCACTAGAATGAAGCAAGTACGGGGCCATCAGGTTGAACAAATCTGACTGGGTGCACTAGGTGGGGTCTTCAGGTAGAAATAACTATGAAGATTAATCTAAACAGACAAGAGGAGTATGCCACAAGAAAAGTTTCACAGTATATGGAAAGTATCTCATTTATCATCTCAATTTCTCTGCTGTGAAAGTAAAATTCTCCAACGAACACAAGAGAGAAAGCATATTCTGACTCGGGGCGCAAGGATACAGTCCATCATGGTGAGGAAATAAAGACAGTAGGAGCCTGAAACAGCTGTTCCATCCCATCCACAGTCAGGAAGTAGAGAATGATGAATGCAGCCTGCTACTGAGCTCCCCCTTTTCATTTAAGCAGTCCAGGATCCTGGCCACCCACACTGGCTAAAGTTTTCCACGCTGGCACACGTAATAAGATAATCAGCCGCAGGCATGCTCAGAGGCCAGTATCCCATGTGATTCTAGACTCTATCCATCTGACGATTAGCTCTTACCAGCTCACTATTACATCCCTATCTCTGAGGCAGTTCTGCCAAACATGCTTATCCTGTAGGGAGAGAAAGAAAGGGAGGGAGGGCAAAGGGCACTTCGAAAACTTCTCACCTGGACAAAAAAAATAAAGCAACTGCATCATGCTTGTCACTGCACACAGCCATGATGTCATCTCCTACAAATCCATTTCCCAAGTGAGAAACCCTCTGTCAAGAAACCTGCCTACGGCAACATGCCCCTCAGGAGGTTGTAACCTAGTTCCAGAGCTAAACAGATACGAAGTATAAGGAAAGAAATAGCAATGCAAATGATGTCACAGCTTTCTTTTATGTAGAGTGATATAAAATAAAACAAACTAAATGACAACAATAAACCAACTCAGAAAAGTCAGAGTTCAAAAAAGGCAGTCTTTTCCTAAGCAAACACACCTTTCCCAGGTGAACCACTCAGGGTATCTGAGGTCAGCCAGCCAATCCTGGCTTCCAGAAGAATACCTAATGACAGAGGTATTTCAGGACAAGGCTATAGAAGGCCAGCAGTAACCACAGGCCTTAACACAGCCACCTTAGTTAGCACAGTCAGCCATATTTGCAACTGTCCAAAATACTAAGTGACGTTTTTCTGTTTCATAAGTAATTATTGAAAAGATTAAATGCCTGGCCTAAGACTAGTAAGATTGAATCCGTTTGTGAGATAATAAAAAGTAAATATAGGACATTCTCGATCATGGTCTGAATGAATTCTTGGGGTACAAGCGGAAAAACTGGTACCAAGCAACACAATCAAATTCATCAGTTTCGATCTTTCCAGGGCTAGATTACAATACTGAACCAGTCTCAGAAGGATACTTCAGGAAAACACAATGCCCGTTCCACAGGGCAGCCACTGCATTAATTACATCCTAACAACTGTTCATTCTAGTTTAAAAGGATATTGGAAATTTTAATTTGCAAATATTTTGCCTCATATTGCAAAGATGACTGTAAGCTGCTGATATTGCCCCTAGCTAAAGAAAATTGCTTTAATACTAGTTACTTAAAATAAGCCCTCGGGACAAAGGTCTAAAGGGAAAGCTCGTTGTGCCCCTACATTAAAATGAAATTTAGCAATGGGCAGCACTTATCTTCCCCTGGGGGTTGGGAAAGCATATTAGAATGCTACTCATCAGGAAGGTGGAGAGGTTCAATTATAAAAATCTCTCCCAGGGTTTAAGAGAGAGAGAGGCTGCAGAGATGGCTCTGTAGATAAGAGTAGGCACAGTGCTGCTGAGTTCAGTTCCTAGAACCCACGTTTTAGCTCCAGCTGCAGTGTGAGCCAGATAGTGAGACAGATACAGGTCAGATACTCACTGACCTCTGTGAGTATCTGCATTCATGCACAGGTTGCCACACTGACACATAGCCACATACACGTCATTAAAGATGAAAATAAATAATTAAAAATTCTTTAAGAATTGAGAGGATTGAAGCCTTTTCACAACTTTGTTAGAATTTTTTTTTTTTTAAACTATGCTAGGACAGAGTTCAGTTTTATGGGAAATCTATGTTTTGATGTAAACTTAACAGGAACATGAAAACTAAAATTTATTAATTTATTGTTTTGTTTTTTTTTAAATCTATGATAGGCATTACCTAAGGTTTTCACACACAGTCATGGGTGCTTTAGGTTTTAAAATAAAGTTGCTTTTGTGGATTCATGTTTGAAGTACAAAGATTTCTTAACAGAATTCAGATGAAGGAAGCAAATGCTCAAAATAAAGAAAGAATCATAATGAGAAGTTATGCTCATGTCTACATATTGTCTAGGAAATTAGGCCCCATTTACTCTAAATGGAAAATTCCCCAACATACACTAGGCTTGTTTATTGGTAGCCACACAAACTGTTTTTATACAAAAAACTAAAAATTTCATATTTAAAGCACAAATGCAAATTTCAGTGGAGAGAGGGTTTTTAAAGTAAATAAAATGTAGACTTGGCTGCTGCTTGGCTGAAGTCTTGGCAAGTATGCAAAGATGCCGAATTCAATAGGGACCCTGCAGGCTTCCACCCGCTGGCTCTTTGGTGGTCTGTGAGAACAACTGTCTAGCCTAAATTGCCTCATTTTGTAGATAGGCAGGAAGAAGTCCAGGACAAGTGGCTTGCTTGTAGAGCCAACAGGCAGCAGAACTGAGCTGAAATCCCAGGTGTCTATGCTCAGGACCCTCCAAATCTTGATTCACTTAAACTCTGGTCACAATGGTTTATCTGACCAATTTCCATTGGCTTTTATTTTTAAAAATGATTTATTCTAAGCCTGTGAAACACTGTAATGTTATGATCTACAATGTGGTCAATCTGGTAATTAAAAATAAAACTAGACTAAAATTATCCAGTAAGTCACATAAACTGGCTAGGAATCCGTTCTGCTGCATCATTTAGAACACATTGGACAGTGGATCAAACGCAGTGGAATTGTGTGACACCAATGAGACCTTTCTGTACCGTCATTTTAAAACAACTTTTCTCATATCCTGTAGTCACAAGATAGATCCATGGAAACTTATACTTCATGTCCGTGCCCCAGGCAGAATGGGCCAAGGATTGGAAGTTTTCTGTTATGAGGCTTTCCAGTGTTGGTAGGGAGGGAGACCCTCCTTCCAGAGACCCCTCCCCCCAACAGAGTGCACTTTCTTTTTTCTGTTTTAGTTTTTCTGTTAGCTGCACAAATTGAGCTGCAAGGGAGCCTAAAAGCATTACTAACTGAGCACATCAGTACCGTTACACAAGAGAACTTAGAATTCTTCGAGAAAGGAAAACACAGGAATGGATTTTAAATGGGTGAAAATGCATTCAGAAGCAAGAATGCATTTCCAATTTTTATATTATGCCTTTATAAAAAAATTATTCCAGGAGAGGTAGGAGTATAAACACCCACTACCAGAAACATGAGGAGATCCCACCAGTCTACCCCACAGGGAAACATAAGAGGGAACCAGTGTGAGCCAATTGAGTAAAATTTGTCAGAACTGAGAATGTTTTTGAGAGTCATAATGGTTTTTGAAGAAACTGATTTCAAAGCTAAAGCTGCCATACATTCATTCCCTGAGGCAAAAAGATCTCAGAGTGAAACATATATATTTCCAGCTGGAGTGAAACCTCAGCCAATACAGCACTTGGCTTGCAAGCATGGACGTGTGAGTTTGATCCCCAGAACCCACTTAGAAAAAAGCATGAAAAGCATTACTTATAATCCCAGTGCTGGGGAGGTAGAGATTCCTGGGCTTTCTGGCCAGCCTGCAACCTTGGAGATCTCCAACCACGAAAAACCCTATTTCAGACAACAAGGTGGGGAGTATCTGAGAAATGTCAGCCATGTTGTCTCTGACCTCTACATATGTGCATCTGCATGGATTTCCAGACACACACACACACACACACACACACACACACAGGTAGACACAGACATATACACACAGAGACAGACACAGACACACACACACACACACACACACACACACACATGTATGCATACTTCTATAAATTCTCAAGGGTAGAATAAGTGGCCTGAAGGATAGGGATGAACAACTCAAAGGGTTTCTGCCTCCATTCTTGTCTCAAAGGCTGGATGGAGATGATCTTTAAAGGGGGTAGGGGTCTAGCACTGAAAAATCACTAAGCCTCACTCTCATGTGTAGGAGCCTGCCTCAGC